TCTTTTTTTAAACGGTAAGCTTGAAATAAAACGTTTAAAAATATGTCATTCAGTAATTCAGGGTATTCAAAAGAAAACGTGTATCTGTGGGACACGAAAATTTCTTCTAATGCTCTTAAAATGCAGTGTTTTCGAATTATACACGATAGAGGCGTGCTTTAGCGTATTGTGGATTGCATTTGCTGAATGCATTTACTGGATGTATATACTTTTATTTAATGTAATATATTTGCAACATATATCGTACAGAGTGGTTCAGTCCTCGTTGCTAATCCGCCGCGATCTCATCCCTTATGTAATGGGGGATAAGAATGAATTTGGCAAAATTGGATACTCTTCGTCATTTCGTTGTAAGTAATTAATGTTAAACTTTGTAATATGCGCTTGAGCTCGTGAAACATGGGCTACGGCAAGTGAGCGAGTACCCTCCCATTAAGACTCGCCACTTCTAAGGAACACTCAATTGATAATACCATCCGAAAAAACTGGAAGAGAGCTCAAGGGAAAAAGCGCGCGCGGTCAAAGCATCAAAGTCTGGTGATCAATTCATGCGGAGAGATAACATCTTTTCCCCATTTCCAGCGGGTGCATCATTTGCGCAGTAGACATTTATCACGTAGGTTTCAATTTTCTATACATTTTCTGAGCAAATGCAAAGAAAACCAGGAATTTTATTCTTTGGTCAGGTGGAGCATGGTACAATTAAATGCAATGGCACGATTAAAGTTCACAGTTTACATGTGAGGGTCGAGGAAATAATCATTTTGCATATAATGTGGCTTATCAAGAGCGATTCTCTGTAAATGTGTCGGTTGGCATTGTTGATGAATTTATCCTCAGTACTCACTTCTTACCTGAGAGTGTATAAATGACGTTCAGTATTCATAACTCAAGTGCTCCCAACTCGTTTCGAGCTGGAGTTAATGAAAGTACGCGTTTATGCTCCCGAAGGAACGTGTTGACGTTCTTTGGCGCGTTGAAAGCGTTGCGAAAGAAATGAAGGTACAGTTGTCAAAGTTGTGCGCTTCACAGAAGCCTTGCGGCACAGATGACAACCTTGCAATTATGCAGGAGGACAATTTGAATAATTGTAAAGCCCCTATCACACGAGGTGAAAGTGCAAACTTTGGTCGTATACTCAAATATGATAAACCATCCTAAATAACACTTTTAATAATAGTTTGTACTCTCTCCTTTCACATTCGTTAGATACGTAGGCAATAATAACAACAGACAGTAATATTTGGCTACCTTTCTTTCAATAAAAGACCAATAACAATAAAAATTATTTCAAAATTTTGAATAGGGTTTACAGTATTTCCTTTCCCACGGACGAATAACTTGGCGTTCTCTATCACCGGGTTGTGTATGAGCAACGAAGACTTAATCACCCTGGATGCAAATTTTATCTTTATACGCTCCCCTATATAAACTATAATTATTCCAAATCTCACACTCCTCGGGGTCGCAATACGCAATACACTCTCGCACTCGCAATACGCTTGAAAAAGGTGTACCTAAAAGTTGTATCTCCACGTACATAGATGTTCGAAGAGAAATACTACGTACTGAGTGGAATCAATATACAAGAAGTAAACCTGGGTGAAAATGAAATGCTCAAACAATGTGAGCAATTCCACCACCACCACCACCACCGTCCTCCGGAGGGCCGAGGCGAGCGTGTGTACCTTGACACCCACCGCCTGTGACGGTGTCCCAGGGCAGGGCGCGCACCAGATCCAGGAAGGGCTGGCTCAGGTCCATGCCGGGCCCGCCCACCGCGGCGAGGAGGCGCTGCGCAGCAAGCATACACGATCACGCGCGATTGGGTAACGCCTGACTGCCTTGGGGTTTCGACTTACTGGCGCGACAACATAATGTGAATTATCGTTGAATTATTCCTCTCGTAAATAAAGTACCTGTTCATCGTTTTCTTATATAAGTTATGAGTATCTTACGATCTAACCTTATATGTCGTTTTTTAGCTGTTTGCTACAAACAGGTACTTTTAAATACGAGACACTTTGAGGTATGAAGAGGAATGTTTCTTTCACAACTTAAAAAATCTACAATGCTTTACTTTTGGTCATTCATTTTCTTAGCAAAAATAATACGATATACAACGTGTCTCTGTATTTCTCTCTCTCTCTCTCTCTCTCTCTCTTTCTCTCTTTCTCTCTCTCTCAAACACAAACAAAAACAACAAGAACAACACAGAACACGGAATATGGGCGGTGCAAAGCGAACTTCACAGGACAATTTTCATCCATTTTCGCTTCCAAACAAATATGCAAATCCAGGCATGCCTCTTTTTGAGATGATGTTAGAAAATAGCGCAACTACTTACGTATGCGTCATAACGTCCAGAAGCAAGAATTAAGGAGAACGCAAGAACAAGAAATAAGGAATGGCTGGCCACGAGGGTGAACCCTTTGGCACGCCTTGGCCCAGCGCTTATCTGTGAGCTACCGGCGTGGCCCGCTTGCTTGGCGAGTCAGCCCAACGGGAGGGCGCGAGCGGCTCTAGTACAATGAAAAATCTAGTAGCAAGTGAGAAACTGCAGCGGGCCACCGCGAGCTGTCTAAACCTAATTCGTACTTTTGAACAGCCATCAAGTAAGACACCTCACTCACCCCAGATCCAGGTATTCCGGTCTGCTGCGTCGAGTCAGTTGCGCACTACAAAACAAACAAAGGGGATGATTTAAAACATGCTACACCTTACTGACTGCAGAACCAGGTATTTTATAACCAACAATGTTTGTAATGTTATGATGCAGCAGCTAATATTCAGGCAAACATTGAGTCAGAAAGTATGATAGTTGTGATTAAGAATTGTCTCGTGTCTAATATGAAAATCAAAACTAGAATTTTAGTTCATAACGATTACACAATGTACACTTTATAAGTTTTGTCTGGATAGCTTGAACTTAATGACATGTGTTTCGTATTCTTCATCTGCTTTACTGTGACGTGCTAATATGACAGTAAACTGAAATGCTTCATATTAAGTTGTAGCAAGAGAAATACCGTACAATATATTGTAATTTATAAAAGTAACTATGACATCGGGCGACTATGAACTCAATCACCGAGAAACATGAATACCGGGCTTCAAAACACGAACCCAATTGTATAAAAATTTCTATCTACCAAAATAGAACTCGTGTAGTAGAAATATGAATAATAATATTACGATTGATATTAAACCTTAGAAAGACATATGAAGTGACCGATCCTGTAATTTAATGCAAAAGATAAAAACGATAGAAGATATTTGATACAAAAACTAATATTTCGTAGACTTTCCTGCATGTATTGTGTTCAATGTCATTTACAAGCATCAACAATTCAAGAACAGATTGCTTATTTAATCTGAATCTTGCAAAAAAAATCATAATTGTCATATATTCATTCAGCAAGTGTATCCTCTCCACCCTCCCAACTTTCGACTTTTCAAATGAATCTGGAGTATTTCTTCTTCACTCTCGTCAGAAAACAAAAACTCCAGAATTTCGTACACTTCAGCCAAGATGTGCAACAGTTTTTGTTATTATTTGGCTGGCAATATGCGCTGTAAAGGTTAACAATCTGTTAATCACCAGTTAACTACGTGCGAGATCACAGGATAACTTAACACCTTATTATCTCTCAGTTAACTCGTATCCCGAGTTCGTACAACCGATTCAAGCGATAAAAGCGTCATAAAATTGATCCCGAGTATTTTTTGTGTTCGTACAACTGGCTCTTAGACATTAAAGATTTAATTCAACGATTTTACGTGAGGAGGCTCAGGCCATCAAGCTTGCTCCTCAGCCTGAACATGCAAATTTCGCTAAGCAACTTTCACCATCCAGCGGAAAAACGAAAATATCACTCGTGCAATGAAACGGGCGACTTGAATTTAGCTCAGAGAATTCTTTTAGGCTTGAGGATCTCTTACGTGCAGCAAATTTACAACACGGGACAGACGGCTTTACTTCCTTTTCGCAAGAGGGCGTATAAAGTATTATTTTGCCCTTAAAAATCCACGGCTTCGATCGAATTTGAACCCGTGAACTTGGGTATAAGAGTCATACACGTTTACCGTTTCACCATCGAAGCCACCGACTCGCCACCGAGTTCACCCTGCGCCTCAGTTCGTTACGAAAGAAGGGCGCCTACTGCCGGGTTAAGAACAAAACACCCACGCTCGAAATCATTACGTTAAATTATACACGCTTCGCACTACGTTCGACACACGCGATCCCCCGCTTTCAGCAACAATCCCCTGCCTTCGCTCTTACCAACATAATTGTTTCAGATTTTGCAGATTTTTTTAAATTTAAAAATTAAAAAACAACATTTTTTTAAATCACCGGGAGAGGTGGTTCAAGACATCAACTGATGTCACTGCAGTGCCTCTATCTGGGAGGGCCTAGGTTCGAATACCGGCGGTAGCAGGATCATCGACACTAGCTTGATAGCTAGGTCGTATTCAATCGCTGTCTGGAGGAGAGTTCACGTGGCCTACTGCGCTGATCGGTATTTATCCGTGGTTTCTCCTATCAACACCGGGCGAATGCGGGAGCAGTACCCGAACAAACGGGCCACGGATCATGACCGATCACGTGCGATCTTTCCCGTCTCTTCCTCGTCCTATCTTAATCCCGTACGCACACACACGCACTCACACTAATAAACATGTCGGGAGCACAGTTGGGAGCTTCGAGCTTGGTGTGTTCCGCTGGTGAGAGTTATCGGGCTAGGGAAAAACCCCGCTAACGGACGGTAAGTCAACGTCGGGTCTCATCATCCATCGGGGGCAAGATCACCGCCGGCTCCCGAGGAAAACGCACGCACTACACTTTCGGGACTCGCGAGCTTAGCAGTTGACGCGACCGGAAGCACAAAATATTCGATCATTTTTTTTTTAAGACATCAACTGAAACTTACTGAGGGGGCCTGTAACAAAGGTGTCATTTCTGGGCGGCGTGGGCTGGGTACGGCCGCCCACCACGTGTTTGCTGCCGGGGTGTGCGGAGGCGGCTGCAGCAACTGCGGCTGCGGGTGTGGCTGCGGCTGTTGCTGCGGTTGTGGCGGCATTGAAGCGTCCTAAGGAAGCAATGCAACATCCAGTTTCAAAACCGCGTTTTGGTTCCATTACATGAAATATTTATGTTGCGGTTTCTACTTTGAAAGAATGCTTACACTCTTTTTTGCTTTGAAACGGTTTTAAATTGTTTTCCCGTCTCATTATTTAACATAACATGTTTCGCCAGCCCAGATAATGCAGTTGATAGACAGGAACGTCCCAGTATGCCAAGTATAAGTCTGGGGTTCGAATATCCGTTTGTACCAAGAGGAAATCATTCTCAGTTCGTTATCTTCATCTGCAAATAGTAATGCTTTGACAAACTTACCGGCAACTGACGTAATTTGCGAGGTTGTGTTGACCCTGCGAAACTGATTTGCTAATTCTGTGAAAAGGTAAATCCACCTCTGAAGTGGACAAATAGAATACCTCGGTCATGCGCACGAGGGCTGAAATGGTTCCAAGGACTATCTCAAAATAAGGTTCGGGAAACTATGAGTGTTCTCTACAAGAAGGGTTGATGAGAAGAGGCAGGATTCCTTAGAGAAATCGGTACGTCCGCCAGACTTCTAGGGTAGAGCAAGTTGAAAGAACTTCCGTTGATAAATAAAAGTAATTAGTCGCATAATACTAATAGTTTTGAATTAGAATTTTTGACAGTGTTTTTTTTTCGCGAATCGGCCATCATGGGGTCAAGTGATTCGCGCATTCCACCGGGGCTCAGTCTTGAATATTGAAAGGTAGGTGCACGTTACATTCTCTGTGGGGATCAGCATTTTAACACCGATTTCATTTTTCACCCCAGGGTTTTTATCTCTGGGGATTGCGGTGAAATTGTGATGATGATGATAATGAATGATGAAATACACACACAACACACAACCATGCGCAAACACACAACCATATTCGAACCCGCGATGTTGCGAACCAGTTCATTTATCTAAGATATTTAGTGACAGCCAAGAAGAAAATTCAATTTTCACGAGAATCAGTAAGGCAAAACAAGTTACCTTAGAAGAGAAGTGCTACTGATTCGCTTTTGGTACAGTGTTAAAAATAGAGCACCAAACGGATACAAAATTATTTTAATTTACGTGAAAAAATAAATGTATGTGTAGTTTACGAAACCGAATTATTAAATAATAAGTATTTGGTAGCTCTCTCTATAACGCAATTCAATTTGATCAACTTAACGTTACAAGGCAATGTACAGAACAACCGTTCAAAACATGAATTAAAGAAAAATATCTTCCATAATTGGTGTTTTCTTTGATGTACTCTTACAGAAATTGGTAAATGCTTCGGAAATCTATTGCCGTTTAGTTTTTATTGATTTGAGTCATTAAAAGTTTTTCCTAATGTAAATTTTAAAATTACTTAAAAATGTATTTGAGGTTATGTAAATGATTACTTGTTCACACGGAATTCTTTTTCTGCACTGTTTTACATTTGTTCGCTTGCCATTTGTCTCTTTATCCCATCTTACAAATACTTTTGATATAAATAAATTATCTATATACATTTTTTTAATCTAGTAAACAAGTAAACATACGCTCTAAATTCTAGAACTACAACTCGACTGAGGAATAGCATGTGCAGCCAGCGCACCGAAACTCCTAGGTAGCTGGTAGGCGTTGACGCCTGAACGCCGACAACTTTCGGCAAGCGTGGGAGGCGTCCGCCATTAGAAAACTATGGCGCAATCAAACCGCTGTCTGACGTCCTTTGGCGCCAGGCTCTGACACGCCGAATATCCGCCTCCTACGCGAGCGAGTCTTGCATGTCGTTTTCTGCTGCCGTGCGAAAACGGACTGCGGTCCAAGTTCGCACTGCGTTGCTGCAACTGGCTCGGAATAGACAGACAGACAAACACCAACTCCCGTTGACAACCGTTTACTCCCAAACGAGTACAGAAAGATCTGGTTATAGCTTACAACTAACTGTGCCCCTTCCCTTGTCGGGAACCTTTGCTTATTTACCCGCTGTCTCGCGGGTGTCTAAGGGCCACGTGCCCCAAACAGTCGCCCGATGGGGGGGGGGATCCGCTCTTTTGCTGTTGTTCTCACTTTTGAGAGATCTTCCCGCGTCGTCTTACGTTCAAACTTGTGCACACGTACCCACGTGTTTTGCGTTGGCGTGATACATCGTAGCCGCAATTTCCTGAGTTCTATTTCTTAATTCTAAACAACATTACAACTTCAGAATTGATAGGTGTTTTTCGGCTGCTCAGGATGAGGTACAGCGGCTGATGTAGTCACAGAGGTGAGAGGCACAACTGTGGGATATAACTAGCGTACCCTAACGCCCGTCAACCGGGAGTAGGATAATGAAGTAATCTGTATTTCGAATACTGTTCCCTTTAACCGGGAGGTCCAAGGGTACGATTCCAGCAGGATTTTCGACGCTACGTTAGGAGCTAAGTCGAATTCAGTTGCTGTCTGGGGGAGAACTGTGCCGGCCGGCTGCTCTGATCGGTAGTTTTTCGTGCTTTCTCCAACCAACTCCAGGCGAATGCCGGAGCAGTACCCTATAAAACGGGCCGCGGACCGCGCGCGATCTTTTCTACCTCTTCCTTGTCCTAACTTTTCCCCTTACACACACACCTACACTAACGCGCGCTACACAAACACACATGCCGGGAGACAGGTCGGGAGCTTACAGCTTGTCCGGACTGGGGTGGGGCACCGATGTTGGGAGATACCTGGTCGTGGAAAACCTCGCTAGCAAACGGTAGGTCGGCGCCGGATCTCTCCATATAGCGAGAAAATGATAACCGCCACCTCCAGAGCGAAAAATGCACTACACTTACGGTACTAATGACCTGGTAGTTGAAGTTCCATTAATCACTAAAACCATCAATCAATCAATCAATCAATCATATGCCGTACTTACTGATATAGTTGAGTACGATTGGACCACCGTAGGCTGCTGCCACAGGGTTCTCTCAGAGACCGATGGATCGATGCCCCCAACAGGTCCTCCGTAAATGCGGGACGGCATGTCACACGGCCGAGAGGACTGCCCAGGGGAACAAAATGGATTTTTTAAAAAAAATATGTTACTAATAAGAGCGCCTCCAAGACCTTTTAGCGTAGGACACGAGTTGTCCTGGAACAGATTAAGTCAGTTTCGGGTCAAGTCCTCTGTCATTGCCTTCTATCTCTATCAGCAAGGGTCTCAGCACCATCAGTATCCGAGTCGGTCACCGATCCAGGAATCCGCGATGACTAGAGCTACTGACCTTCCGTGAATTCACGGAGTTTGGTAAAGTAGTATATGTATCAACTAAAAATTCCGCGATAAAGTACTTGCGGTTGTAACACTACCAATTTAAAATCGTTTTTTAGAAAATATATTTTCTATTAAAAGCTTGCTGCAAACTCACCATATCTAAGCGGGTCGATGTTAAAGGAAAATCATCTGGGAGTTCCTGCAAACAAGAATAAATGACGAATTACAAAAGTAGTTAAGTTTTACAGAAAAATGTAATTACAATGATTCAAGAGGCACATATATTGTCAAAGTATCTACTAGTAATATACAGGATAATTAAATCGTCGCTCATTCTCTGCATACATACTGTAGGATACGCAAAACTAAACGTCCTACTCTTTTCTAGATCATTGTGATTAAAAATGCCCAGGAAAGGCCTTGGAAAGGTACTTGTTTTTTCAAGTACTTCTCGATCTGTAATGGTTCCTAACATGGACGCTTCCGCCAGGCGTGAGTCTTCTCAACTTCCTTGCTCACGTCACCTTTCATGGACTTCAACGGCGGCTCGCCAGGTGAAGTGCCAATTCACCTATTAGCGAGCGCCTTTCTCATTCCCGTTTCCTTTCTTGGATTTATTTGCGTTTCTTCTTTTGCTCGAAACAGCGAATCCGATTTCTTGCTCTTGAAATGCGCGGACCTTTACGTTAATTTCCCTTCCTACCACCGAACCCTTCAACCCAATACGGAACTGAAGCCCCGTGCTGTACTTCGCATCTTCACTGCAAGTCAGAGGTCTCCAACCAGGGAACCGCGAACCCCTCAGGTTCACTAGAACGTTGACCAGGGTTCCGAAAGTGATCAGTATTAGCTCAGCCAAAATAGTCGTAAATATGAAATCATCTATACCAGGAGTTTTTCATTTATGAACCAGGTATTGGATTATCTTATTGAAATATTTGATTACTATATTTATGTAAAATCTACAATATTAATATACTAGATTGATATAAAAAGTTATTTGGACAAAAATGTAATATTGATCAAACAATTTTTTTAAAATTATAAGAATATAATCCAAATACACAAAAATAAGGATTTTTTTAAATTTCCAGCTTTTGTTTTCATTTTAAACAAAAATAAATTTATATGAATTTTGTTCGCATCTGATGATGCGTAAAAGTAGATTACACAAAACGTCGTGTGTTCAGAATATGCAAAAAGTAAAAAAAATAAAATTGAATTGATTGTCTAAAAATAAAAAAAAATAATACATGAATGTTAAATTATGAATATTATGTGACAATCACTCTGTTTTATATATTTTTGACTGATTAAATAATTTTGCGAATTTGAGAACAAGCGAATTTGAGCTGTAATAATTATTTTGTTTTCTACTTAAACATGAGTTTCCTACAAGAAAACCATCAGCTCGAAGGGGTCATGAAGGTGTAAAAGGTCAAAGACCCCTGCTGTAAGTGAATGGTTGCCTTGCAATCGGTCTGCTTGGGCTGTCTGAATTGTACATAACAAGTGTCTATTTCGAGACTATGATGTTCAACTGAGACAACTCTCCTGAACAGATCGTTTTGCAAGATTCCTTTGTGACGGTTCAAGAAAAAAACAAACTAGCAAACAAACTAAACTCAGTTACTGAAGTGACGAGTTATTACGAATTTTCCACTTCATGTCCGCCGTAAGCGAGTAGTTCGGAGCCAAATCTTACCATTTGTTTGGGTAGAAGCACTGTCATCTCTCGCGATAAAACATGCACCTCATTAATGGAACCGACATTGATTTCACAATACATTGATAATAAATTGATTTCATGCGATCATTGAACAGTTTCAGACAAAGATAGTCAAGTTTATGAAATGTATACGAATTATTTCTTCTTGTTTCCAGGGTTGTCAGTGTTGGAAATTGGCTCTCTCTCGCGGGACAAAAATTAATTTCGCGGAATACCGCCCAACGGGCGGGCGGAAATACTTCAAAACATGTATAGTTTTCAGATTACGACGGAATTTTCACCTTCTATTACAAATAATACTATTTTACTGCAAAATCAAATTTCCCGCTTGGAATATCGATTTTTTCTTCTTGGACGGAATTACATCCAACAAAGTCGGTTCTAAATCCAACTAACGATGGATGTGTGTACAAAGCATCTGGCAACATCGAACATCATTCATTCTCTAGCATTATTCACAGTTTGGGTTTCTGCACATTCACTTGAAATTCTTCAAAATTAAAAAGTTCCAAGGTAATACTGTTCAAAGTGTTTGCAAATTTGGTTTTGATAATACGTTAATTCGAATCTAAATTGAAATCTATCTGTAGCGCTATTTACTTAGTAACTCAATTGTTTACTTAAAGATGTCGACAACAGTGTTGCCAACGCTGTGAATGGAAATTATGGCGTATTATGCGAAACATACGCTAGGATACTGTGTTTTATCAACGCTACCTACATAGATAAATTTAGGAGGCTTTGGCTTAATTCCTGGCATTATCACTAAGATCGCAGCGGTAAAATACAAAAAAAACACGTTTTTGGAACTTTCTTTGAATTTTCTGGCCGGATTAGAAAAGAAATTATCAGCTCTCCATCAGACGACCGAGGCGCGTCACATTACACCTTTTATACGTCTCGATTGGTGCTGGTAAGTGGTCTAGCCGCGAGTGAAGGAACCGTCGAATCGCACAGACGCGCTCTCGAGGTTTTACTCAAATACTGTATAGGGATATCTTCTGCGCTTCTACTCTTATTAAGCGCAAACTGTTGGGCGTCACACAAGAATCGAGAAGAATACTTTGTGCAGTATCGAAGAGTTTCTGACCAATGTCACATAAATATTTATCTAATTGTGCAGAAGAGTCTCGAATTTTTCATCTGAAACATCTCACCATCAATTTCTAAGAAACTAACTGAAATAGTAGGTGGCAGTTGAGCGGATAACAACTGTGCTATGTAAATAGTTTATTCTCGTGCAGTTTGCTGTAGCTTCACTGTAATCAAGTGACATCTTTCGGTATTTAGATAACTCAGCTTTGTAACGCATTACTCTACTTGATTTTAGGTATGACTATGGATTTTGTATCTGCCAATAAACTTTGAATGGAAAAGTTGTTTTTATTGATTTTACCCACAAATTATACCAATAATATTCACTTATTTACACCAACAATGTTTATCCAAAGAAGGTAAAAATTCTTGATTTTAAGTAAATTGTTTGCCTTACCAGTATAGAATCCTCGGAGAATCCCGACCATTCAGAATACTGAGGAAATAAAACTCGTCCCTGCAAAGCAAAAATGAACATTATCCACATTGACATTATAATAATTAACTTGCTAGTCCGTAAATCTCGGCAGCGGTGGTGTAACGGTTAGCGTATCGGACTGTTATACCCAAGTTGGCGGGTTCAAACCCGATCAAAGCCTTGGATTTTGAAGGGCGAAAAAATCCTTCGTACTGGAAATAAAGCCGACTGTTCCATGTTAGATTTACTTGCACGTAAAAGATCTTCAAGCCTAAGTGATGCCTCTGAGCTAAATTCAAAAAGCCTGTTTCGTCGCCCAAGAAATGCCTCATTTATTCGCTAGTAAGTGAAAAGGAGCGTAGCGAAATTTGCGTGGTCAGACGGAAGAGCGGACCTGATGGCTTGCCACGTAAAATAAGGCGTCAATTCATTCAACATAGTATTGTTTTAAGCTCAGGAGTAGACTAATTTTCAAATGTCAGTCTAGCTATCAGGCCGATAATGAACCAACTCTTCAATGGCGCTCTCTCGCTCCAAACCGCTAAAATACAAAAAATGTAATTTATACATTAACATTAATTTCCTATTTCCCAATATTGAACACTATTCTTGGAAACTAGGTATTGGCATCATAATTATAAGTCACTGAAATTATACCTCTTGGAAACGAATTTAAAAATAAGTATTTTTCAGGTAAAATCCTTTTTTGTTTTACATTTATATTTGTAATTTTTGTTATTACATTAGCCGTTTGAATTTAACGTAACATTTGAAAAAATATTTCAAACTTACTGCTCCTGCTGTGTGGTACCCTGAAGATTCGTAATTGTCTAGCAAACTGCCTGTCCTCTGTAACAAAAACAGTAATTAAATAACGTTATTCATTTATAAGTACAATAATATACAATCGTATACTAAGTATTAATATGAATAATATATAATGTATAATCAATGCCACGTCTCCTTGTATGTGAAACGGATATTTTGATTTTGGGATATTCTTACGAAAGCATTATCGATATTTTCAAAACTTTTTCGAAACTGCCTCTACATTTTTTGTTTCTTTTTTTTTTTAAGATAGAGCACGGCACCCATTTTTGGAATGGAGCAGCACCCGTTTCTGTTTAATTCTCTGAATTTTTTAAATTATTATTTGCAAATTTTGCAAATATTTGGGGATATGTAGTCGTATATATGCCAAGAGTGTGTAACATCAACATCTAGCATTCAGGAATTCCAGAACTTTCTTATACGTTTCGTTGACTATGTCTACTGACGAAATAAAATTAACAATATGGAGATTATATAATATTCGCAATTTATAATTAGAAAAAAACAACTTTAAGTTCACTGTCCGTTTTGGGAGCAATGGAAACATGTGGAAATATATGCTGATATGGTAGGTTTTGAAGAATTTAGGAATTTGAGGTGATACAGTCGGAGAAGAGCCAATAATATATAACACCATATGGCAGTAATAAATACAACAGAACAATAATGCACATACCTTAGAATATATTGGTGGTGGGTTGTATTCTCCACACTGATACTCCATGGTGCGGCTCTGTCCAAAAAAGAACGTTAATTAGAAGTTCATATGGAAAAATATCTCGAGTAATGTTTTAAAATAATAACCCGCTACTGTTCAAGCAAAGTTCAAGAGGTGTAATTCACATTTCCGTATAAGTGTTTGAAATCGTAGGGAATTGTTTTTCTCTCAAAACTATTACGTTTTAATTCAAGCCTGAAATCTTAAGTACAAGTTCTCAGAACACTTCCACGCATTAAGAATGCACGTAATAAAATACGTTAAATCATGCCATTTTGTATGTAATTCCCTTTGATATAAGCCTAACAAATTCTACACCCCATATTTTAACATGTATAACTCATTGTGTTCTCTTACAGTTCAGTGCAGAGGTATTCATGTTACAAAAACGTGTTGTCTTCTGATGATAGCGATTCTAGTAAAACCACCAAAAAATTCCCACGTTAAACCATACCATACCTCCACTGTTGTTTGTTGCGTTGGATAACTAGATGGGGCAGGACGTCCCTGTGAAGGGAAGAATATATTAAGATAATTCGTTTTTGGATGCCTACATTTGGTTTCCCTGCGGCTTTTTCCAGCTTTAGGGGATATCAATTACGACTATCCGGGCCGGGTTTCCATTGTGACCCCTCATGGGGACACAATTTTTTACACACGCTTCAGGGCTTCTCGGTGCGTGGTCAGCAGACTTACAAGGCCTTCCGCGACAACACATACACATGAAAGACAACCGACAAACATCCACGACCAAGGCAGAACTCGAACCCGCGAACCTTCAGACCGAAGCGCTGAGTGGGCACACGTTCTGGCCGCCTCGGCCATCTTGGCAAAAATACTGACTGCAGTAAATATAGAATTGAAGCCGCGATAGTGATTGTAGCAAAACAACATAACATTCCATACCTGCACTGCTGGTTGTTGCGTATCGTAATCGCAGGGGGCAGGACGTGACTGCAGAAAGAAAAATAAACAAAGTAAAATATTTAAGTTAATTCTTTTTTGATTGCCAAAAATATTGGTTGCAATAAACTTTAGCTGATGCCACGTTACAAATTTTAAATTCAATACGCTTTGTACATCCGAAAATACCAACGTTGGTAATATTAGAAAATTATTTGAAGCAGATTTTGAAACAACTCAATGTTTATTTCAATTTCAAGTGATTATTATAAATAAATGAAAATTATACGTCATAACATTTAAATGTGCGTAATAAATGGAAAGATTTTTTTTAAAATATGCGATATTTTCGTTCATGGGAAAGTTTTGCACGTGGTTGGTAAAACTTGTGGCAAAAATATATGAAGGCTACTGATTTACTTTAGCAACTCTGTAGAGGTCGTCATCCATTGTCGAATACAGTGCAGCTGTTTGTACTTGTGTGTTGTATTAGTAACTTATTTTAATTACCTTAATTATTATGAAACAATGTGTTCTGAATAAAATCGCTCTAATTACATTACATACCTGCACTGCTGGTTGTTGCGTATCGTAATCACAGGGGGCAGGACGTGACTGTGGAAAGAAAAATAAAGTAAAATATTTAAGATAATAATTCTTTTTTGATTGCCAAAAATATTGGTTGCAATAAACTTAAGCTGATGCGACGTTACAAATTTTAAATTCAATACGCTTTGTACATCCGAAAATACCAACGTTGGTAATATTAGAAAATTATTTGAAGCAGATTTTGAAACAACTCAATGTTAACAAACATTTCCTTAAAAGTGATAATGAAAACTCACTGAAACCTGCGTTAAATGACCTTTGTTTGTTTCTGAATAGTTGGTCTTTTAGAGGCGTTATCGCCTAATAGGGTAATATTTTTTTAAACAATGGTATAAGAATATCTTATCCGTATTATTGCCAAGATTACGGATGCATAGGTAGGTGTCTATTATACCTATCTGATTTTTAAAAAAATCTTTAGTATATGAGCATAAATTATGAAAATTGAAACATTTTGATTATTTTTTTTCTTTTTGGTACAAAATCGTTTTAAGAATTCTTTATTATTATTATTTTAATTGTTATTAAAAATATTAAATTTCCCTCTCCATGTTAAAATTAAACGTTTGAATCATTTTCAGTTTTGGGACTCCCAATAGTTGTCAATAGATATAACCTTCATTTTCTTGTGTAGGCTCAATTTGTCTTTTTAGAAGTATGCATGGCACATTCTACTTCTTAAGAACTCAAAACCTTGCTTTTCTCACACTTCTTTACACATTTGAAAACAATATCAAACGATGGTTCTTGGCTTGGTAAGTACTGGGCTCAGATTACGAGACAAGACGATAACAATGACACGACATTAATATTCTACCGCACGAGATGTTCATCAAGTAAAGTGAGGTAAGGAAGGCACTGTTAATTCAAGGAATTAAACGTTATGTCTGTTTGATATTCACAGTATCATAAAAAAAAATTAATTTGAGCGAGGAGCCCTGACCTCATATCAGTTGCCACGGTTTATGATTCACAGAAACCCTTCCTCGAGAATGAAACTTGAGGCATAAGATTTGTTGTGCGATTGCTTTTCACACGTCACCAATTCTCATTTTAACGTCTGAAAATTTGGTGTTCCTGAATGTGGTATCTTAAAAGAGGTAAATTACGAAAATTGACATTAACACTTAGCTTTACCAAGCATGGGTACCCATTAGTTCGTTTCTAAAACAAAATGTGCTTTAAATGGATTCAGATATTTTTATTCTATTTATCAATACCATCTAATTCTACGTCATAACATTTAAATATGCGTAATAAATGGAAAGATTTTTTTTAAAATATGCGATATTTTCGTTCATAGGAAAGTTTTGCACGTGGTTGGTAAAACTTGTGGCAAAAGTATATGAAGGCTACTGATTTACTTTAGCAACTCTGTAGAGGTCGTCATCCATTGTCGAATACAGTGCAGCTGTTTGTACTTGTGTGTTGTATTAGTAACTTATTTTAATTACCTTAATTATTATGAAACAATGTGTTCTGAATAAAATCGTTCTAATTACATTATAAATCATTCATGTTCACGAGATAAATATTTCTAATTATAAAATTACAGTCAAAATAAAAAATTAAACATAGCTTTTTCCAGCTCTAGGGGGTATCTATTTCGACTATCCGGGCCGGGTTTCCATTGTTACCCCTCATGGGGACACATAATATTTTACACAAGACACGCTTCAGGGCTTCTCGGTGCGTGGTCAGCAGACTTACAAGGCCTTCCGCGACAACACATACACATGAAAGACAACCGACAAACATCCACGACCAAGGCAGAACTCGAACCCGCGAACCTTCAGACCGAAGCGCTGAGTGGGCACACGCTCTGGCCGCCTCGGCCATCTTGGCAAAAATACTGACTGCAGTAAATATAGAATTGAAGCCGCGATAGTGATTGTAGCAAAACAACATAACATTCCATACCTGCACTGCTGGTTGTTGCGTGTCGTAATCGCAGGGGGCAGGACGTGACTGCGGAAAGAAAAATAAACAAAGTAAAATATTTAAGATAATAATTCTTTTTTGATTGCCAAAAATATTGGTTGCAATAAACTTTAGCTGATACCACGTTAAAAATTTTAAATTTAATACGCTTTGTACACCCGAAAATACCAACGTTGGTAATATTAGAAAATTATTTGAAGCAGATTTTGAAACAACTCAATGTTTATTTCAATTTCAAGTGATTATTATAAATAAATGAAAATTATACGTCATAACATTTAAATGTGCGTAATAAATGGAAAGATGTTTTTTTTAATATATGCGATATTTTCGTTCATGGGAAAGGTTTGCACATGGTTGGTAAAACTTGTGGCAAAAATATATGAAGGCTACTGATTTACTTTAGCAACTCTGTAGAGGTCGTCATCCATTGTCGAATACAGTGCAGCTGTTTGTACTTGTGTGTTGTATTAGTAACTTATTTTAATTACCTTAATTATTATGAAACAATGTGTTCTGAATAAAATCGTTCTAATTACATTATAAATCATTCATGTTCACGGGATAAATATTTCTAATTACAAAATTACAGTCAAAATAAAGAATTAACATATGGGCATTTTTTTCCCATGGTTAGTACATCACAAATAACTTGGTAATGCTAGTGTTAAGGGGCTGGCAAGTTATCAATGAGAGGGGTAGTTTGTTAGAAGCTCCATAATTTTCGTTCAATGTATGCGTTTCAGTGTTTGTTCCCAAACAATTGGTCATTGAGAGTGGTGCACTCCTCCCAGATAATCGAAAAATATTTTAAATGTTAGTAATATACATTCTCGTTTTAATGACACTCAATATTCAAAAACAAATGCAGAAATATCGATGTAATCATTTGAAAACCAAAGATCGCTCAACTTGCGCTCTCTCCCAGGTACTGCATCACGGTCTTGGCACTTGCCTCTATTACTAAATTTACTGCATTGGCCCTACGCTTGAACACACGGCCATCAGCGCGGCAAACCAATGGGAGTTGGGGGTTATGTCGCCGAGCCCTCTGTCCAGGGGGATTCCAGTTTTCTGGTTTCGTCTCACACTAGCTATAATTTAATTTTATGAATTTTGCGACTTACTGAAAGTACACAAGTTCAGTCAATTATTAACGGTATTTAATGCATTATTTATGTTTGGAGAATTAATTTTTTTTATGTCTTATTTTCGATTCAAAATGTACATTCAATCATAAGTCAGTTCTGTAAAGTTGGCCGTTCTGGAAAGCAGTATCTTTCTGTCTCTCACGGTGGGTGCGTTACAGCTGAGTGACATTCTCCCAGCGATGTTTTGTGGGTGAAATATCTTTATTGTAACATACACCAGGGTAGTTAAATTTTGGAAATAAAATAATTTTGTGAAGAACGTATCCATGCAATAGTATTTGTTTGCAAAGTGGTGGAGTGCGATTACCTTATTTTCGATCTTTTTTTATGTGTACGAATTATACTACCGTCAGTACCGTCAGAACTAATACAATAACCAGTGCCCAGTAGTAATCTAAGCCAGAACCACGT